CTGAGGGAGCTCACATCTCAGAGCCTGAGGGAGCTCACATCTCAGAGCCTGAGGGAGCTCACACCTGTCAGTTCAGGATTTGGGACATCTGAGAGATGAAGGTAGGAGGATCAGAAATAAGATCCCCCTTGGTTACTTGTAGAGTTCAAGGCCAGTATAGGCAAGTTAACTATCTTAACCACCAAATCCTAAGAGAACATGTTTATATGAAAAAATCACACCAGCACAGGAGACTAGAAATGTTGACTAGGAATCTGCATGAGCACAGAGAAAATTCTTCTATTACTTTGTAACCTGTGAACATATGACACTAAGTGGTCTATAAGTCTTACTTGACTAAGCCAGAAGTCTAGGTCTGACATTAAAAAGGACAAGCCTGAGCTGGAGAGATGGCTCAGTGGTTAAGAACACTGACTGTTTTTCCAGAGGTCCTGGGTTCAATTCCCAGCAACCACATGGTGGCTCGCTACCATCTGTAATGGGATTCGATGCCCTTTTCTGGAGTCTCTAAGAGGGTGACAACGTACTCATATACATAAATAAATAAATAAATCTTTAAAAACAAAACAAAAAAAAGGACAAGCTTCAGACAACACGTCCCCTAGGGCCATACTAGGTGCCTGACAACCCACCCTCAGCATTCTGTCCAAGTGAAACATCCTAGAACCAATTATACCACAGGGTAAGTCAAGACTGTCAGTTCCAGCAAGCCTCACCTTTTGAATGCCTTCTTCATTCACACACACCTTTGAGAAGATCTGTTTAAAAATCTTGCTCAGAACAAAGGCTAAGAACCGAATGGCTCCTATGCGCAGCTTGTGACTCATCTCCTCTAGGATCTCACTGGCTTCCTCTCGGAGGACATCAACTCCTGTCAGCGTCTCCTTGGAAAGCTGAAGGAAGGCAGAACAGGGGTGAGCTCTGAAACACAGAAGCCAGAGCTCCTTTCACTCAGACCACTGTGACTGACTCCAAGCCAAACTCTGTGGGAGGCCAGGACTGTGAATGATGCATGGAACTTTTCCTTTGTTAGGCAAAGGCCCTTGGCGCTGATCTCAGCCTACTGACAGCCAGGACCATAAGGGCACTGCACCATCTTCAGTGAAAAATGATTCAATTTAAGGTTTAAAGGCTAGAAATTCAAAAAGAAGCCACATGGCTCTAGAGAAATGGCAACCAAGGTTGACCTGGCATGTATACACCTCCACCCCCACACATGAGCCTACACGCCGAGAGCAGTGCTGCCGGGTCCTTCATCTACTGTATACACCCACACCCCACACATGAGCCTGCACACCGAGAGCAGTGCTGCCGGACCCTTCATCTACTGTATACACCCACAACCCCACACATGAGCCTGCACA